ACGCCCCACCGCGGAACAATATTGATACATCACTGCAAATAGGTAAATCCCCTAAGGATGACGTCGTCAGAGATGCTACAAAGCCAACCAGGGCCACCAAACAATTCGGACCATGGTTACCAACTGTAGTTTTTCCAGCAGCTGTGGCAAGAACAGACTATTTAGGGTACGCTTATGTTGGAGCTGCGATAAACGACAAGAGCAGCGCTAAGAGCCAAGCAACGAGAACGTCGCCATGGAATTAAATGGAAATATTCATGACATGAAGTTGTTGGCAACGAGTGATTGGATGAATCAACAAGTGTTTCCCGCCTTTTCAACCGTTGGAATCGTTTGCCCAACGATTACTATTGTAGTTCGCCGTTTTCCTGTACTCGAATATACACCGTTAATGTGCCAATGTTTTTGTAAGTTTTAGTCGTCATAATAAAGCATTTATTTTTATACTTTAGATTTGCCGTATAAAAATACTGTCCTAGAGTTGGTTTTTATCAGTGTAATTTGATGGTTTTAAACTTGATAGTGTAGTTAAATTAGCCACAAAATTATTGCGTTGATTTGGAAGGTGTCTGCCCATATTGAACAACTTTTTTTGTTGCGGTGAAATATTCCGTTCATAGTTACTTTTCCTCACGGGCACTGTTTTTACCTTCGAATTTTTCTGAGTGCAGATTTTTTCATTAGTTTATCATTAAATATAGGGCTTCCCAGATATTTAGAAGTGTCATTGTAATTCGTGAACGCCATTGATACACCTTTAGAAAAATTATCAATTAAAAGAGATACTAGTTTTAATGAATGAAGGGCAAAGTGGTATAAATTGGAAGTGCTAAAAGAAATGTTTCATTTTAAGGAAGAATTTACTTCTTTCAAAATAAAATGTATGTATTGCTTTTGAAGATTAGTATTGCCATTCTTTTGCAACTAGTAAAAGGAAAAGAAAAAGGATTTAGCATAAAGTTCTATAGGATTTCATTAAAATAATTCAAACTCAAATAATTCAGAGTAGGCCTACATCTTTTTAATTTTTATTGAAGGAAAATTAACATGAAATTCCAATAAAAATCCATATTGAATTTTGTTGCTGTTTGATACATTCACACAACATTATTTCCTAATGAAAATAAATTTCCAGAACTTAAGGGTAATGACTAATTTCCAATTAATGAAACAATAAGTATCTTATGCAGTCTAATATTTATTTATTTGTTTCTAACAAAATTCTATTGTTAGAGAAAGAAAGTAATATTAGTAAAGAACATTATCTTCTCCAAATAAATAAAGATAATAAAAGTATTCTTTCTTTGCAAGATTTCTATAATATATTCAATGGGGCCCGAAGAAATAGTTGCTTTGCTGTTCGGAAAATTTGAGACAAAAATATTCTTATGCGCTAAACAGTAGAGGATAAATAAACAAATTGCTCGAGCATGTTATGTAAATGTTAACATATGCTCCATGAAGCAAACATTTATGTATTAACGTTTTTAAATGTATCATATTAACACGTTATATTTTATCAATTTAATACGTTACATTTTATATATCAACGTGTTTCATTGTTACATCTATTTGTTGACGTTATTGCATTTGTGAGTATAAGTACTTCTCACTACGTCAAATAAAGGTCTTGAAATATCATGTTTTTTCTGTGAAAACACGCTCAAAATTCTGCATTTTCAGCAATGCTTGTACATTTTCTCAGAAATAACAACAACATTTTTCTTTAAATGTTTTGTGCAGATAGTACTAAACACATCATGTATATTATATATTTTAGAGAGAAAACAATCCAATGTGCCAATGAAGAGGATTTTTAAATAATAAGTATATCCTATAAAAAATTTTGTAGTGTTAGTCAATTTTGAGTTAATTAATGAGGGTGAAGAACAATTGTTTGAATATTGAAGAAACTTATGAATACTGTTTATGCAATTTATTGCAGTGAATGATACTGAATGTCATTGAGATATATTCAGCATTGGTAGACACATTATTGGTCATGCGTTGTTAAAAAGATAAATTTTTCAGATGAAGGTGGGTTTGACAAGACAAGGAATGTTTTTTTCAAGCAGTGTAATAAACATATAATTTCCATGTTGTATCTTAAGTATTAAAGGCAGGCCTACATGATTAGTTATATATTAATTACATATTTACATAGCCATTATACTAAAAAGGTCACTGGTTTTACTATTTACTGGTAGCGTTCCAGATTAATTTATCAATAAACATAATAACTTGGATTATTTTAATTGTCATTAACCTCACATTTTATAAGTATGTATGGTCATAACAATACACTCGAAATTATTTTTTTTCCAAGCTACAGATATGACAAAGTTTGAAACTACCGCCATGTTCCTGACGGCCCTCCTCGTGCCTCCCACATTGCCACCTTATTTTCCCGCGTTTCCAATCAATGATTGGTACAGTTGCACCGGTTACACCGAGTGAATCGGTCCATCGTCCATGTAGTTCTTCGATGTTACTTCTGCTCCATGGTGGCGGTAGTGAGTAGTGAATCGACTTCGTGACTCACGAATCGTGAGAGCGAATCAGGCCTCTATGAAGAATCATTCGCGCAACTTCTTGAAAGTATTGTACATTGAAGAATTCACCTATAAATTATGGTTCTGTTATTTAATGTACATTTAAAATTTATAAACCACAAATAAATGCTGTTACGTAAAAGTAACAACGTACTTCATAAATATTCCATGAGTAATAACACATCTCCCATACATTTATTATTTATCCATTTGGAAGGGAACTTCGAATTAATGGGCTGTTTGACTTAAAACATGATATTATTGATGATTTAAATGATTCATAAAGGCATATATGTTTGTTCCTTTCGAGGTGTACTAAAAATTCAATGATTTATAAAATGTTAATTACAATTTTGATTAAGAACCATTTTCCCGAGTTTTTGAAAGAGCCACCTAGATAGCTGCGTTCCACTAATCACAGCGCAGATACCGCGACAACTGGTGAACGTTTTCAACGAATCAACCTTGATTGAAATAGACCAACGAATCAGTCTGAAACGTAATGGTACTACCGGTTCAATCAACAGTTGGGGCCCCTCCGGATGCCATCAGAAGCCATACGGTAGAGCTATAGCTCAGCTGTAGCTACAGCTATAGCAGAAGGCCACAGCAAGATGGCCGAAACGTCAGCACAACTGACCGAGCCGCGGCTCATCCCAGATAGCCAAGAATGTATTGACTCCGGCCGTGGAATCCTACGAACGCATATAAACTAATGGTGCTACAGAATTGCATAGACTTTATCGTAATTTCTTTCGTCTGGGGCAACTTTACATTCTTGCCCCTTCCTATTCTATCCCCGCCCAAACATAATTTTTGCCCCATTGCTTAATTTTTCGTTTTCCTAATGGCAGAGTCGAAAAATTACCTTAGAACATTAAAGAAAACCTCGACCAATATGGAAATTTTTGTCGAAAAATTTGGAGCAGCGTTTACGAAAATTGTGTTTAAGAGTTACTGTAAATGCGGAATTTGAAACTTTCTCACAGAAAACTATTGTGATTTTCAAAAACCTTATTGGAAGCCGTTTAAAGCAGTTCCTCTCACAAATACAATATTTTATACAAATCGCAAAAAAAGTGCATATTAAGACAAACATTTGAAAATTTTATAAAATATCAGACTACTGTACAACGACTTATAAAATTACGATAACGATTTTTCCCGTTCTAATTTCTATTTCAATGTTTTAATATTTTTTTCCCCTATCAGTCACATTGTCGGGCCCCGGGCGATAGCCAGTCTGTCCATGACAAGCGTTGGCACTGATGTCGACGTGCTGAATCCGAAGCCAGAATTGCGCCACTACCCTTCAGTTGTTTTTTTAAACATGTGTGAAACACATGCGAAAAACACATGTGAATACTAGATTTTGTTGTCTTGTAGCATTATACTCTCCAGAAGCCAAAAGTTGTCGGACCCAAAGACTTGACACATGTTCCATTGCGAAAGTCGACGCGCTGAATCCGAAGCCAGAATTGCGCCATCACCCTCCTGTTATTTTTAAATCGTAAAACACTGGAAGGTGATGGAACAATTCTGGCTTCGGATTCGAATTCAGCGCGTTGACATTTAACCCCGCATTGCGGGCCTTAAGAGCCCGAACGTTACACCACTGTAATCGAGGCTTCTTCCTTTCGTTCAAGTGAATTCAGCTTGCAAACGTTTGGTTTGGCTTTGGGCTATTTTTTATCAGTAAAGCTCTGCCTTTATATATTGTGAAATCGAACGAACCAACAATGGCATTGATAGGCCACTTAGGTAACTTACATTACGTAGTACCATAGCTCGCTAGTATGCCTTTATGCATATTAGCGCGCTATGGTAGTACAACAGCTGACATTACGATATATATGAGCGAAGAAATTAAATAGACTATTCAGGAATTCTGCGCAGAACATTTGTTGCATCTCATAAATATTATTTGAAGCAAGTACCATTAATATTTTATTAAAATAAGTGAAAAAAGCATTAAAAACGACGGAGAAAGATAAAATATTACTTATTAGTCGAAATCGAAGAAAAATGCAAAAGAAGACATAAAATGGTTCACTTTTGAATTCAGTTTATTTCATTCACTTTTGCCATAGGTACCATAAAATTAATGTCTACACTAAACAGCATTGTTCTAAAGTAAAAAGGAAAGAAATGACATTTCATTAAAAACTGCCCCCTAGCCTGATTAACCTGATAGCAATCCTCAAGAAAAGGTTTGCTGTAGTGTACTGCTTATAGGTGATTTCCATTTCTCTTCAGAATGAATCCATTTCTTCAAAATTTCAGGTGGAGAAAAGGACCAGCGGAACCCGGCAGACGTTGTCCGGCTCTCTGTCCCTTCCCCTCTCTCCCTCTCTTTCGCTCTCTGCCTGTCTGCCCCTGTCTCATCCCCGTCTCACTCTCTCTCTGTCTCTCTCTCTCTTTATGGTGATGTGTGAATTAGATACGCCGAATACTCCACATTTACCAACTCACCAAAATCAGACGTCACGTCACGCTTCTGAAAGATTTTCAGTATTGCAGTCGTTGATCCAGTTTATGTAGTTGAGATCACTGGCGAAAACAAATCCTGCAGCCCCAATCCACACCAAACACCAGACCGAAAAACATGTAACAGCAGTCGTTTAGCGGCAGTCATTTAGCAGGCACTCACAGATAACATTGATAGCGGATGTAAAATACTCAACATTAACATTGTATTAAAGTCATACATGTGGATTGATTTGATTCATTTTAACACAAGATTTATAAAATTATGATTTTTACAACTGGCTGCCCTGAACGACAAATGAATATCGAATATCCTGCGAATATCTACTTGCGGTGCCAAGCAGTGTTTTTTCGTTGGTTTTGGTGTGCCGCCGCGAGAATGTAAATGGCTATCGAAAATGGATACGTAACTGTCAGTTGTTAGTTTGCAGTCTTCATTTCGATTAATTGTGTTATTCTATACTATAATGAGTAAATATAAAATTGAAGCATTGACCGGCCATCTAATTGAGGCTTTAGAGTAAGTGTTGTGACATATTTGAAATATCCTGTGTCAGGAAGTTATTAGTTAAAATGTCAGTGTAATTTGTAGTAGAATGGATTTTCAAGATTTGAAAGTTGATTAATATAAGATCTAAGAAGACTTTTGGAGAATGTGTAATTAAATTATTAGGTTATATTTATTTAGGTTTATGTTAATTAGTGTGGTACTGCCCCACCCCCTCAACATATACCAGCAAACACTTCAGGTTTCAAAAAAAATGCGAGTTTATATGATTACAACAATCTGTAAAAGATAATTGCTTTCAAGTAGCACTTTTACTGTTAATTTTCAGTAAAATTATGTTGTTCATCACTAAAATGCTTATTCATTTCACCTAGAAATATTGTGAAAGTATATTCTATTTTTTGGATTTAATTTAATATATGAAAGAATGTTCATTGTAGTTCAATAAAGTATTTGATTTTTCAGGTGAATGTAACTTCGTATATAAGATTTTTAATTGATATGTGTAGACACTACTTCTGTTAGAAATGCATAGTTTTTGCGAATGTGTATACATTTTTTTCAGTGTGTATTTGTCATACTAAATTTACATATATGCATTTTAATTTCAGTAAAATTGTAGTTTGGATTAAATTGTGTTCATAATAAATTCAAAATATTTATAAGTATCCTGAAAGAATTTATATTTTCAGTGTATTTCTTTTTTCTATTGATAGACTGTTGCTATTAGTCAGTCAGTACAGCTTAAACAAAATGATGAATTTTATATAGTTACAGCAACCTAAATTACTTACTTAATATAAATGGTAGAGTTCACTTTCAAATTGTTTGTGTTTTCTGTCATGTGTATAAAATTGATACAGATTTTTCTCACGAGGTGAGACGATGTTTTTAAATCTGATGCACGAGTTATGCTTCTTAGAGTAGCAAAAGAATCACTGGCCTGGCTGTGTAATTATGAGATAAACATGCATGGCAGTCAGAGGGTTAAATAGCCATTGGTGAATTTAAAGAGCAGTTAATTTACATTACTTTTTAACCTTCCTTTTTCTCATTTCGCAATTGTCGACCTCTGTTGCTACCCCACAGATACTTAGCATGATGTAATTGTTACAAATTATATTTTGACTGTTTAAAAACTGGACTGCGCCAACTGGAAATTAAACATAGATCTTCTGGTTGTGAGGGCACTGGAGCTAGGAAGAGTTGACTGTCTCAGTCTATCACATGGAGTGATTAAAACATTTGAGCAAACTGGAAATCCTAATTTAATTTCTGGATGGAGCAGTCAATACTTTGAAAAGTCAAAACATTATTTAGAAATGAATTACAATTCAATTGATGGGACATAATGTTCAATTCGAATTTATGTGGTTGTTTTCCTTAATCTTGGTTCCTTTAGTTCCAAAGATTCCCCTGAACTCTACGTGGAAGACTTCCATCAGTCTGTTTTAAAGTACAATCCTTCAGGACAGACTGTAACTTCTCAGAAGTATCTCAGTCAGTTAACAAAGCTGAGCCCAAACCCACAACAATTCACTGCAAAATACGATGAACTCAAGGAGCGAAAGTGAGTATTTGGAATATTTTTATATTCTTTTGGTGTATTACAACCACATTTGAAATACCAATGCAATTGTAATATTTCAGTGTTGACCATCTCCAGCATTTTGTTCAGCTGTTGTCTTTAATTGCTGAAGATAAGAAACTTAAGCACTTTTTGCATAAAAATGCTAAGAAAACAAATGAAAGTAAACCAACTGAAAATATGAGGATGATAGATGTTCCTCGAGTGAGTTAAACAGACCTAAGAATTAAATTGTTGTACTTTTGTTTTATTTATTTTATTCTTTTCCACACTTTTTTTTTTTTTTTTAATGTTTTCAAATACTGATCTCTGATTTCAGGTAGTCAATAAGTTAAAGCAAGTTGCAAAATATTCTAAAGAGAATGAAGACAAGGATCGAAAGAAAAAAACTCAGGATTCTGCTGTCAGTATATTTAAGCCTATTCGGCCAACGCCTACCCCTGACATGAGTTTGGATTTCAGCACAAATTTGTTCATTGAACCATTCCCACCAAACTTGGGTATGTTCTGTTGTTCAAAATGACAATTCTAGTAAAATGCAATAACACATACTTCCTTAGAATCGCAAATCTCCAAGTATTTGTCACACATTTGTATTGGTCTGTTTTAGATTTAAGAGTGTTATAAATTGAAAAAGAAACTATTCATTGTGATCACTGAATATGATTGAGAAAAAATATTGAATTGTTAAGAGTAGTTAATATATAATCAATAAAATCTTTTAAGTGTCCCTTGTTCTAACCTTAAAGGGAAAAAAAGTGCTTTTTGGAAAAATGTTTCTTTCATCTTTTTACAATTTGCATTAATTTAAGCAGAAATTACATAAAAACTAACAGTTTTTGAAAAATTGGTGTTTTTTAAGATTGATTTTTTAGAACAAATGCAGAACATAATAGATCTGATTTTTTAGAGGCATTAAAGACAAACATTTCTATCTTTTCTAAAGTTCTTTTTCAGTGTTTCTTGCAATTTTCAAAAATAGAGAATTTGCTTAAAAATGGGACCAACACTACTTTTTATACCATCCTCTGATACACACCAGGAGAAAATTTTAAGAATACATTTTTAGCAGTTTTTAAGAAAAAATAATAAAAAATAGCCTGTGTTTCAGGCAACATTATGTGAAAACTACTCATATTTTTGAAAAATTTGAAATGACCTCGTGTCACGTTCTATTTTTAAAGATTACATTTCATTATGGGAAAAAATCTATTTTCATTGTTGTATTTGTAGGAAGATGCTGAAAAAATGTTGAACGTTTGTAGTTTTCAAAAAAATCAAGGATTTCAATGACAATGCAGCATTCATTAAAGCATTTTCTACGCTATCTGTGGACAAAGTTTTTTCAAAAACTTCGAAGTCATTTTTTGAGAAAATTTTGAGGCTTTATTTACATTCCCCTCAAAATCAAAATATAAATTTCAAAGTCGGAGGGCTTTGGGTTCATTGAGATCGATTAGTGAATATCAGATAAGGAGAAATTGTCAAAAGAATGTGGTCAATAACGTTGACCGTGGATGGATGGACATTTTGCTGTAAATCGATTTTTTGGTATCACGGACGCACAAAAGATGGATTCTGATTACAGAAATATTAGATAGTCATTTACTATATGTAGGCACAAGATTTATTCACTTTTTTCTTACCAAAGCCAAGCAATAAATTTTTCCTGTTGAAAATTGCAATTTTCTGGTTCACGAATATAATACTTTCTGTTGTTTCGAAGTAAGACGAGAAAGTAAAAATGGGTTGAAATCTTTTTATCTCTATTGTGCTTGATTGCGACTACAGGCCAGCAAACTGAAAGGTAAGATTTAACCTGTTTTGGTATGCAATGCTTCTATATCAAGTTTTGATAACTTTTTGTGATGGTCAGTAATGTTGAATACTTTTGATAAATCTAGAAACTATCCATTGGGAATTTCTTTCTGATCCAAAATAATATGTATGTCGTTTAAAAAGGAGAAGAAAAATAGCGCAGACGATTTGAGTTTCATGATCCGTAAACTCAATGAACACTTTTTTAAAGCAGGACTAAATATTAATATGGACAAATCTGAATACCTGGCAGTTGGTAAAAATGAAATAGAAGATGTTCTTGTGGAAAATGGAGGAAATTGTTACAAATTGTAAAGTTTTAGTGATTTAATTAGTTTATTAGTTTTAGGGTTGATTGTTTATCAATTGTGTATGATGTACTATGACTAACACTTAAATAAGTTGAAATCTTAATACAGAAGGAAATAAGTTTTTTTGCCAAGAATTGACAAGAAAATGTTGCCAAGCATGTATGCGAAATGATTTACATATATCCCAAATGAATTATACATAACTTTGACAACGCTGCCCTGGGAACAGTGCTTTGGTCACTTCTGTATAATTTGCTGTGAATACTGTAACAGTCGAATTAATTCCTGTTTGTTTCATTTGTAAAAATAAGAAATGATTGCTGCTCTTGACTCTTGAAATGAGTGCTGTTATGCACTGCTGAGGTGTGGGAAGCACAGAAATCGCAATATTTCAATATTATGTAGCTGTTTCCAGTAATGCAAGAAAGTATGTGCTGTTGTAGCACCGCTAGTTTAAAATCAACAAAGTAATTCATTAGGTTGTGAGTGTTACCTTTCTTGAATAGTGGCTTAACTTTCGCTTTTTTGATAATTTCTAGGAAGATATCTGTCAGTGAGGAGTGGTTGCAAATGCAAGTGAAATGTTCTACTATGAATGTTGCAGTATATTGTGAAGGATGTTATCCAGTGCTGAAGCGAATTTATTTTTGATTTGATTTATAAGTTGTAGTATTTCTAAGTGTGATGTTTCAGTGAGTTTGCATTAGGGGTTGTGTTGAATTTAACAGAATTTAACAGCATATGTAATATATTCAGACCTACCATATCATGTCCACCACAAAGATTCTAGGTCACTATGTAAAAGTTTGTAAACCCAGAGACCCTCTAAAGCACATTAGTTATTATGATGATAAAAAATTATGACATTCACATACATTTATTCACAGTAAATCACATTTATTGTCTTATTTGTTTGACAATTGTTTCACTAATTATCTAGGCATTAATATAAGTAGTAGCTTTATTACATACATACCTAATTTTAAAATGTCAAACTATATTAGAAACCTGTGTATGTGTAACCAAAATTTGAATATCAATTTTTTGAGTGATTGTGATAATTACATAGCAGTTGCCTAGATAAGATTGTTATAAAATGGAAGCTAAAAGAACTGGACAAACACAAACTCACAAAAGCTGACATGTTCAACATCACGTCAAAAGACTATATAATTAAAGTTATCTTTTATAAAAACTTGTTAACTTATATTCTATTGATTAATCATCAATTCAAATATTGAAGTTGATAATATTATCAACAGAATTATTTATTTTATATGATGTGAAACTCTAACAAATAACCGGTTGACTCCACATAAATAATAAATATATATTAATTAATTAATCAAACAATAAAGAAGGTATGTAAAATGATAAAGGGTTATGTAACATACACTAAATTCTCAGGTATGGTACTCCATACTCCTAAGTCTGCAGTACTGTATATTCACCACATGCCTTATACTGGCCTGTTTGCTTACAAATGTGAACAAACAAGAATATTACATAGATATTACTTTTTGTCTTCCAGGTCCTGTACCAACATGTTCTCAGGAAGGAATTCTCATTGAAGATTTGTTGTGTTGTTTGGAAGGCGTAGAAGGCAATTACATTGTCCCTAAACCATTGTCGGAGAAGTATGGTCAACGCCACTTCATCATCAGTGACGCTATTGGTGAGAAGTTAAACTTCCTAAAAGATGTATCAAAAATATGTAGCAAATGTGCATCAGAGAAGGAAAGGGGCAATTTTGAATATGAAAGTGTTCAATGAAAAAAAGAGAGAAATAAAGGAAAAGCTCATGACATTTTCATTTAATTTCTTTCAAATAAAATACTTTCTAAGCTGCATTTGTTGAGAAATCTTAATGTGTGTGATCTTTCTGTTAAAGTTATAATTTTTTGTTAATTATGTAATTTTTTAAATTCACAATGGTCAAATTAAATATTTAACCTTGCGTTTTAGATCCAGCGTTGGAAAAATTGCTGTTGAACATCTTACCTGTAGCATCTGATTATTCAATGGTTGTACGTTTCATTGAAGAGCATCGCCACTTTGACTGTGGGCAAGTGAACCATGCCTTGGCAGCAGCTATGTTGACACTGGTCAAAGATTACAGGGTATTTGTAACTCAGCTGGAGTCACTGAGTCACAAGAACTTTTTCAGTTTGTCGAAAATGAATTACTACCTGCAGCCCATGAAGCTTCTAATGGATATCCTGGCCAAAATTGCCAGTGCAGTGGGCAAAGTAATTCCTTTGTATTGCTTTTGATTTGTGTGTGTGTGTGT